TTTTTGCAATGTTCCAGTTGGTGTTTTTTTTAAAAAAAAAAAAACCCAAAAACCCCCCTATCAGCCACAGCAAGCATGACCACAGGTGAGAGATGGCGGGAGCTATATCCAAAAGATGTGGAAGGTGCTAAAGTCGAAACCTGCTACGTTCTTTTCTTTTCAAACATACAATCTGAGAAGCTTACTTAGGACTGGAACACATTAATTTGCACATCTGTACAAACAGAAAGCCAAAAACACTCACCACTACTTCTTCCCTATCAGCCACAGCAAGCATGACCACAGGTGAGAGATGGCGGGAGCTATATCCAAAAGATGTGGAAGGTGCTAAAGTCGAAACCTGCTACGTTCTTTTCTTTTCAAACATACAATCTGAGAAGCTTACTTAGGACTGGAACACATTAATTTGCACATCTGTACAAACAGAAAGCCAAAAACACTCACCACTACTTCTTCCTCTTTATTCTCAGTTTTTTCCTCCACTTCGTCATCACTTCGAGCTTCAGCTCCTTCTTCTTCGTCGCTGCTCGAGGATTCCAAAATCTCACGCATATCCATCTTCCAATTAGCAGGTATAGCTTTCAGACTGAAGAAGCTGCTGGCCTCTTGTAACCCTTCGGAGGAAAACGGCTCATGCTTAATCATTCAAAGTACTGTACTAAGAAGGATGCCTACTACTGTACTAAGAATCAAAACTGTGTTGTCTCCACTTAGCACTAGCCTTATGTCTTTTGCTCAGTCAGTTTAAATTTCAACTTAAAGTCACAAAATTGGCCTGCCAAGCAGAACAAAAAAAAGCAGTTCTTGATTTGTAAAGTAAAATGAAGCTGCATCTACAAATTCTCCCTTTTACCAGCTTAATTACTAAGCAAAATTGGCTGTGAACAAGAAAAAACTATAGTCTGAAACCAGAAATATAATCAAGGAAGATGCAAAAAGACAATATTTGCAGCTAAGTTAAAGTAATAGCCATGGCAGATGACTTACGAACTCTTAAATTTATTAGCGAGAGACAAGAAGCAAAAATAGCATCAGAAATAGGGATCCTAACTGCAACTTTATAGCAAATGGCATGTGGTGGCAAAGACCTATTAAACAAAAGAGAACAGAAGAGAGAGTTTCTTCCATAAGATTCATGAACACAAAGAAGAGTGTAAGCCAAAGTTAGGGATAGTGAATGATGAAAATAATAAATTATCTGATCAGGTTAAAATAAAGAGAAAATAGAAACCACATATTGAACAACTATACAGCAGACATGAAACACAAATTCTTTCAAAGAAAACTCTTTCAATGGAAATCCTGCGACCTTTAAAAGTTCTTCTCAAAGCACTCGAAATAATCACAGAAGAAGTGGCACACCAGCGGAACTTTTCGGTGTACAGAGACTGAATCTATCAAAATCCTAACGTGAATATGTACACAAATATGGAAAACAAACAATGACCCATAAACTGGAAACATGCTCTAAAGACAGGAGATATAAAAGATTAATTGTAGGACAGTGCATTCATTTCACATGCAAGCAAAGTGACGCTCAGAACTTCACAACAAAAATCTTTACTATGTGTGGGTTTTTCCAACAAGGTAGCAGTGTTAGTCCTTTTGGCATGTATAGCAAAATAAAAAGTGTGACACCTTAGAGACTATTAGATTCATTTCATTATAAGCTTTTGTGGATTGCAGTCTCTTGTTCTGAGGAAGTCAACTGTAATCTATGAAAGCTTACACTGAAATAAACCTTAGTCTGCGAAGCGCTTGACCTCTTTGGTTTTATATTTGCTCTACGTACCACATATTGAGTAAGACATGACAGATGTTCAAGTTCCATTTGGAAAAAGAACTGGCCCTAGAGATTGTGTTGCAAATATATTCAGTCCTGCACTGTGCAGAGGGTTCCTGTACTGACCATGGGGTTGGACATGATGCCTTATTAGGATTAGGCATCCATCTATTACTCTATACACTTGCTACTTCAGCATACTATCAAATTTTTAAATACCGATTTCTGATTTATAGATTTCAGCAAAGAATGACTCAGTACATCATGAATAGCAATGGACTGTTCAACAACAAATCAGTGTATAACAACTTTTGAATGTGTTGTTGAATGATCTGTACTTTGTAATTAGGATAAAATATGGTAGGAAACAGAATAGTTTCTAATAGACAAAGGTGTCAAATGAGAGTACATATTATTATATATATTCAGTGTAGAACATATGTATACAGCAAGATGAATTTAGCTTGTGATGGAGTGAAAACTGGTGGAAGGGTCAATAATTTAAAGTACACAGAAGACACCATATGTCTTGCAGAAAGCAACGATGACCAGAAATGACCCCTAATGAAAGAAGAAAATGCAAAAGCAGAGTTGCCGCTGAACATTAAGATGACAAAAAATCTTGATGAGAGAAGAACAGCATAATCAGAAAAGACTGAGAGTGGGAAAGGCAGCTATGAAGGAACTAGAAAAGATTGTCAGAGTCTATGGATGTGTTGCTAGAGACCAAGGCCACTATTACCCTTATTACGCTGTTCCCAAGAATGCTGGACAATGGAAAAAGCTAGTATGAAAAAAAAACTGATTTATTCAAAATGTGGTAAGAGGAGAGCTTTGGGGATACCATGGATTATCAGGAAGATGAATTATGTTGGTTCTAGAACAACACTGAGCCTAAACTCTCATTAGAAGCTAGCTAGAAGAGCCCCCAAACCACATGAAGTTAAGAAGAATACAACCATTCACTGGTCGAAGACTTGCTTGCTGTGAATGACAGCAATTCTCTAAAATCACAAATTCCCAGATGTAGGATGCAGATGTCTCCTAGGTCTTCTAACAAGATTCTTCTGCCTGGAGGTAGCGGGATGGCTGGAGAAACCAGGGCCTTCTATATGCTATGTGCCATGGCAACCCCCACAGCAGAGTCCTGAAATGCTCCACTGATTGTCTCAAGAGACCAGTTTGGTCAATGTAAAGACAAGCACATTGATGTATTCCAACTCCATAAACTTTCATAGGTTTGGATCCATGCTTAGACTGAAAAGAGTAAATTCTAGTCACCGCCCCGGATGGTGCAATTCAATGAGTCAGGTACAATCTTAGTCATTCTTGTACTAGACCCATTTCAGTCTCTTAAGGGCGACTGAAAATACCATTGATTCACATGTAAGTACGACGAAGTCTCAAGTAGAGATGGGCACGTCTCAGTTCATCAAGGTAGCAGCGCAGGTGCTGCCGCTCCCCAGGCTCAAACAGCTGCACATCAGGTCCAGCTTGATTGCTTTTCCCACCTCCTCAGCTAATCTCCCAGTCATGAACAAGAGCACAGACTTCGCTGCTCCATCATTTTTTCTGAGTCAACCAAGAGGGCTGGGCAGAGAAGCCTGAGCTCTTATCGGGACTGGAAGATCAGTTGATGGGATGAAGAGAAACAAGCAAGCTGAGCCTGGGGAGGGGAGGGAGAAGGGGAGCACCAGCACCTGTGCTATAGCTTTGACGACCTGGGATGAACTAAAATTTATTAGATGAACTAATATTACATCCATTATGTTCATGCACCACCTAAATTGATCATTCATTACAACTGTATGGTCAGATAGCAAGTTCATGCACCACCTAAATTGATCGTTCATTACAACTGTATGGTCAGATAGCAATATTCTTTATTTTAGAAGTATAAAGCTCTGACACTGCAAATCTACAGGTCCCCATAGGTCTATTCAGCTGTGATAAAACTGGTATGCATTCACCAGAGTAAGCACTACAGTGCTCCAATTCTACCCCGTTTCATTGCTTTCCTGCACATGAATAATAAGAAATCTGAAGAAGATCCTTCTTATGTGCCAGGGACCTGGAAAATAAGGAAAGCACCACAGATAGCACATAAGTAGGCATCCTTCAGTCTCGAGAGCAGAAATCCTTCTTATGTGCCAGGCACCACAGATATCACATAAGTAGGCATCCTTCAGTCTGGAGAGACAAGAAGCTGCCCATGGCTGGCATCCAAGCCTCTTTCTAAAAAGCAGATCTCTACCTACAAAAATGCATAGTTCTCCAAGTATAGGAGGGTGACAAAACTGGAAACTGAGGTTGCAGCAGCAAGAGAGCTCCTTCTGCCTATAGTCGCAATGACCAGATAGGCAGGGTATAAATGGAATGAATGAATGAATAAATAAACAAACAAATAAATAAATGAGTGTAGCAAACAGCCCTGCCCTCACCTGTCTGTCACAGCTGAACAGTGGAGTAGCAGCCAATGAGAGGACGGAAGGTGGAGCCAAGGGGGGAGGTGGCTGGATATAAAGGCTGGTGTGTGGAGCATGAGGAGAGAGTCTGTGAGTGACAGTGTGAAACTTAAGAGAAATCTTAGAGTGAGTTAGAGATCTGTAAGAACGCTGAATGGAACAGAGAATCAACAGAGTTTTAAAGTCAAAGTAGAACTGATACAAATACAAGTGATTAGGAACCTGTGATTTACTTATCGAATATTAATCAGATGTTAACTTCCCTGATCTAATAAATGAGTTAAGTTTTAAAAGCACACTTGTCTCCTTGATTAAATGGTACTGAAGAAGCAATACCTGGTGGCAGCGAAGAAAGAAGAAGAGCGAGAACCTCGTGAAGACCTGAGGGAATAGGGGCTTCAGAGGGGATCGCCACAATGAGTATCTCTTAATTTCTGGAGAGACAAGAAGCTGCCCATGGCTGGCATCCAAGCCTCTTTCTAAAAATAGTGTGGAAGAATTGTCATATTCCAGTGTCTTCCTTTCTGATCATTTCAAAACACCCGTCTCTGTTGTGCTGGCATGAACAACTCACCATACATGTGGAACCGCATTTTCAGCAAGGAGTTTGACTATTAATGACTGCACTGCATGGTAATGAAACGTGAAATAATCCTACCTTTTCTAGAGGACAACTCCTGTTTTGTAATGTTCAGCATGTCTAATTCCTCAATATCCTTTCTTGCTATGGAATAACTGCAAAAGAATTTGGCAAATTAAAAAAAAACAGGAGAGTTATGTTTCCCTTAAGTCTTTCATTATAACAAGTTTTTGCTTTTTAGTCATCAACAGAGTTTTAAAGTCAAAGTAGAACTGATACAAATACAAGTGATTAGGAACCTGTGATTTACTTATCGAATATTAATCAGATGTTAACTTCCCTGATCTAATAAATGAGTTAAGTTTTAAAAGCACACTTGTCTCCTTGATTAAATGGTACTGAAGAAGCAATACCTGGTGGCAGCGAAGAAAGAAGAAGAGCGAGAACCTCGTGAAGACCTGAGGGAATAGGGGCTTCAGAGGGGATCGCCACAATGAGTATCTCTTAATTTATAAGATATCAATAGACTTCATGAAAAAACAGGAAGCTGCCCATGGCTGGCATCCAAGCCTCTTTTAAAAAACAGTGTGGAAGAATTGTCATATTCCAATGTCTTCCTTTCTGATCATTTCAAAACACCCGTCTCTGTTGTGCTGGCATGAACAACTCACCATACATGTGGAACCGCATTTTCAGCAAGGAGTTTGACTATTAATGACTGCACTGCATGGTAATGAAACGTGAAATAATCCTACCTTTTCTAGAGGACAACTCCTGTTTTGTAATGTTCAGCATGTCTAATTCCTCAATATCCTTTCTTGCTATGGAATAACTGCAAGAGAATTTGGCAAATTAAAAAAAAAAACAGGAGAGTTATCTTTCCCTTAAGTCTTTCATTATAACAAGTTTTTGCTTTTTAGTCCACCAGAGCCAAAGCTGGGTTCAAATTCCTCTACGATTATGATTTACTGGCTGCCATGTTGCTTCCTTCTTATTCTCAGCTTCAAATTGATGAAAAAGAAACAAGGGCTGGAGTCCTGTTGCTTAGCATGGTAAGTGGCACGCAGGTAGGATCACTTAATCAGTGGGGATTTGGTGAGTCAACTCCTCTGTAAGTTCCATTGATTCTAATGGGCTTACACTAGTGATGAGTGGGCCTATTTGAATCAATGGAATTTGCAGAGGAGTTGCCTCACCAAATCTCCACTGATTCCATTGGCTTACTCTGGTTCAACTCTAAGCAACAGGATTTCAGCCAGTGACACACTCCAAATGGCTGCATTATTTACTAGCCTAACACATGAATAATAATAAAAACACTGTGGGCTATTAAGAGACAGTATGTACAAATTTCATCCCTCTAGATCAAGCCATCTTCCCACAGAATGGATGCAGATCTCATCAATAGTTTTGTTGGGTTCATCTGAAGTTCATGTCACACTCCTGCTAATCGACACAGAAAAGCTCACACTAATTGTTGTTTAAGCACAAATCATTAAACATATGGGGAGGGGGAGAAGCCTTCCTAGTCTCCTGCCCCCTCCAGATGTTTTGGTCTACAATCCCTACATGCCTTGCTCAGTGTGGTCACTTAAAGGCTAAGAGTTGTAGCCTACCCCTTCTGGAGAGCATGAGGTTGGGAATGGCTAAAGAAAAGCTCCAGCTGAACACTTAGTAGGACTGCAAATTCGCATTATTGCCTCTAAAGGCATCTATACTGAAGCCTGGTAAAGACGCACTCAAAAATCATAGCCTACGTAATCAACCAAAATGTTGGGCTTTGGTTATGTTTCAATTTTAAGTTTTCAGGTCCTTCTTTTGCAATACCCCAAGATTTAAAGATCCACAGGCAAGATACTTAAAAATACTACTCACAATTTGGAATCTGCGAAAGATCGAACTAAACACTGGTCCTTTTTCACAGAAATATCTTCACTGCAGCTGGGGGATAAGACCTGAAGTTTCAAATAAAACACAGAACATTATGGATCTCTTAAAACTCTTCATTCTAAGAAAAGGCAATAGTCACACCTAATTGTTCCGTCTTTGTTATGGCACCTCCCCTTTGTCATGACAATAGTAAATTCTCTAAATGAAGTAAACGGCAGTTATTGACTTTTCCTCCTCTCATGTAACATTTGTTGTTGTTTAGTCATTAAGTCGTGTCTGACTCTTCGTGACCCCATGGACCAGAGCACACCAGGCCCTCCTGTCTTCCACTGCCTCCCGGAGTTGGGTCACATTCATGTTGGTCGCTTCAATGACACTGTCCAACCATCTCGTCCATTGTCGTCCCCTTCTCCTCTTGCCTTCACACTTTCCCAACATCAGGGTCCTAATATTACATCATGTAAAATTAGGACATAACAAAGCTAGCATGAACATTAGAAATGAACATACTTCACATCCTAAGAAATGTAGCCTATGGAATTCAATACAATATGCACTACTAATTGCCAGAAGCTTATCAGGCCTTTTAAAAATGGACAAGGCAAATTCCTGTGACATAGCTACAGTGATAGATATTTGTTAGGATTAGAAAATACTCATGTTGATTCTTGAGATAGTGGTTGGATCCAAGCTTGTTCACAACTTGCATTGCTTGTATACACAAACTAGAGTGCACCCCTATTCCCTAAGAATTCCAGATCAGAGATGGGGGTATTCGTGGACATAATGAGGGTCCAGCTTCCTGGGGCCGGACAGTCCACTCACCACGGGTGCCACAGAGTCTTCCAATGGCTCTGAAGATCGTGTTCAGTGAGCCACTCTTCAACCTAACAGAAAGGCTTGCCGTCCCACCTCCTGCCCATGGCAGTGACGGATCAGTGAGTGGACTGTCCGGCCCCAGGGGGCTGGACCCTCATTATGTCCGGGGGGTATGCGTATTCATATACAAATGCCCCCATCTCTATTCCAGATACTTAATTAATCTATGTATTTATGATTGCTTCCAAAATACTGTACAGTAGTTGATCTTTATAGTTAAAAGAGGGAATCCTAACCAGTTCTGCAACGATGAGGTTCCCAACTATCATCCAGGGCAGTGGTTCCCAAGCTTGTGTGTCCAGATGTTCTTAAGACTGCGACTCCCAGAAATCCTGGCTCACACAGCTAGTGGTGAAGGCTTCAGAGAGTTAGTAGTTGATCTTTACAGTTAAAAGAGGCAATCCTAACTAGTTCCGCAATGATGAGGTCTGCCACTGTCATCCAGTGCAGTGGTTCCCAAGCTTGTCTGTCCAGATGTTCTTAAGACTGAGACTCCCAGAAATCCTGGCCCGCACAGCTAGTGGCTTCTGAGAGTTTTACTCCAAGAACAATTGGGGACCCAAGGTTGGGAACCACTGATGTAGTGGGAGCCATTCCACCTGTTCACACAGTGAGCAACAGGGTAACAAATCTACTTATTACTTTCGACATCGTTCATTCATGACAAGTTAAGCCCATGCTTGAGAAAATATTTAACCCAGCTGTACCATACAACTGTTACAGGCTTGTATGCTCAAATCTGCCAAGACTGAACAGTGAAGCTCATTTATGGACTAAAGTTTTATATAACATTGAAGGGTTTCTTTTTTGCTTTCACAATAGGTTAAGACTGAAGCAGTTGTAGAGAGTGTATCAATGTTATGTGTGTGTGTCAAGTTGGAACCAACTTATAATGACCCCAACAGAGCTTTCAATGTGAGAGGTTTTAAGGAGAGGTTTAATAAGTTCCACTCCTATATTAGTTTTCATAGCCAAGTGGGGATTCAATCCCCAGAGTCCTAAACTTTCACTCTATCCACTTCACCACCCAATTTGGGCAAAACATTATATCTATCTTTTATAATTCCAACCTCTTCCCATTTCTTATACATTCTACCATTTAGTAGAAACAAGGCTACAGGGAAAATTCCAGTAGCACAACAGTATAATTTCCCAAATTTAGCATTTTTAGTTATTGCATCATGCATTTATTTTGCAATACCTATATTTCTAAGATTTTTTAAAAAATCTTAGAAATGTACAGGAAAAATATCTAAAAATATTATGCACAATATCTTATTACAAATAGAGTTTCATGCCCTGCTGACACTGACCTTTCACATCCCCAGATCATATCTATATATTAATAAAGTGAGAAATGTATCTAAAAAGAAAGACCAGCTGCTAGCGGGGACCTCTTTCTCCCTAAGCTATTGTTTAGTGGCAACCATTCCATCTGATCACACACAAAGAGAGAGGTGGCAAGCTCACTCTGTTAACTTGTTTACCCTGCCCTATCCTGAACAATATTATTTGGCTTTATTATTATACAACATTTATAACAGGTGCTTACATTTTCACATTTCCCTCTGCCCTCCTCCCATTTTTTTCACTTTCATGTCACAATTTTTAAATAAATCCACAAATAGAACTGGCTCATTTACAGTGTTTACATTCAAGAATGATAGAAATGTAACAGCAAGTGCTAGTTTATGGTCATTGTTATCAATAACAGCACCCCTTTGCAACTACATAGTGAACCCAACAATCCTTGGACCAAAGCATGTGCCTGTCCCTAAGAAACCCCCAAAATTCCAGTCATATTTGATGAAGCAGAAAAAGTGGCTGCTCAAACAATCAGAGCACAAAGTGAAAGCTTTACACACAGACTTGATCCTCCCATATAATTTTAACAGGTCCAAGAACACTTTCATCTTGGTGCTTTTGTAGCGACTGCACATGTAATACCGAGCTAAGGCCACATAGCTAAGCAATAGATTTTGCCCACTGATTAAGATTTCTTTTTAACTCCACTATATTTCCTCACCTTTGTAAAGCAAATCAAGATTGACTTTTGGGCTCCAAAATTAAGAGGGAGGTCTTACAAACTCTTCAAAAAGGCTTCTGGGCTTGAATCTTCCACAATTCTACAGTGGAAGGAAGTTCTGTAACTTGGGGAAGGAAATGTGGTCTCTTTTTGCCACTGTTGATTTAGCTTACGCAGGTGGTGATGGCAGACGGTGCCCTTTGCGGTTCTCAGAGATATACAAAAGAAGCACTTTCAAGCAGAACGCTTCTAATCAATCATTTAAAAAAAATTAAACCATATTGATTATCTACTTAAGTACGAATGCTACTTTAGGGTTTCAGTTGTGTTACACTTCTGCTAGAAATTACCTGCTGTAAAACAGCCTACACAATCTCTCGAAGCTAGTTCCACAAACCTCAAACAGGGCTAAAAGTTTGCTCTTCTTTGCAAAGCAAAAGCAAGACAAAAATGTGAACTCAGATATTAAAGCTCAGCCCTGTTGTGCTTAAAGTCCTTACTTCTGGAAAAAAACGATACAGTCTTCCAAGTAAATGATCTTACTTAGCACCCTCCTCAATATATACAAAAAGAACAAAAACCTTAGCATTTCAGAACTATCTATTATGTAAGCAGATAAATTCCATGGTGCTATATAATCAGAGGTTCAGGAAATGGGTTCTGGACACTGAAAACTGGTTGAATATCTGTATTTTATAATATTTATGTTCTTGCTTAGGAAATGTATACAGCAGAAAATCTTAACAGTCTTCAAGGTGCATCAAAGAAAGTGAAGTTCAGATGTTTGCAATGTATGCTACTCTTAGGTAAAAATTATTTTGAGTTAAACTGCACCTAACAAATTGTGCCCAAGTAACAGAGGCAAACACTCAAACACAAACATACGAACTATAGTTAAGACCACACACACACAAAAATCTGTTTATGCCAAATTTTAGCATAGCATAACTGTGCTCTCCTTCCCTTTACAAAGACAAGGAAGAGGCTGTGTCTCATTGATTTAGCAGTGGCCCTTGGCTTTGGTGAAAATTTAAGTGGAGACCTCCCTGAAAAATTAATTACTCAGAACATATTCATGGGAAATGGAGAAAGTAGTTCAAGGCAGGGATGATACATATTACACAAGAAAAGTTCAATCAGACAAAACAGCATTTGTGTGCACTTAATATTTTAGACTGGAGTACAAACAGAACTGGAAAAAAAAACAGTTACATTCCAGACAGACAGTGGGCTAGAAAAATTTGTGTTGTGTTGGAAGGGAATATGCAACAGTTTAATTAAACTTTATTAGAAACACGTTTCCGTGAAGAATTAATTGGGAATTACTTTTAGAGCACTCAATACATTTTCTTTTTTTTGCTGTTGCAGAGACGTTACAAACAGAATGTTCTTAGGCAGATGAAGAAGACCCAAGGGCATAACTTAACATTTAAAGTTTCACTCTACCTTTATGATAACTCAGTGTTTTAGCCCCAATGCATTTCCAAAACTTCACCTCTTTGAAAACCACTCAGTTTTCACTAGCTTCTTATGAATCCCCTAAATACTTCCTACTCACCAAAGCCGGATACCACTCTCCATCCTCAGAACTGGTTGTCACACTGACAACTTTACCAAGCAATTCATCGTTAAGACGTCTCTTATCGTCTTCCTCCTCTTCACTACTTTCTTCTTCTTTTTCATCTTCGTTACTAGAGGATTAGGAGGCATACAGTGATTGAGACAGCCTGAACATGGAAATAATAGTTAAAAGGAAACCACTGCCTCATCAGAGCTATTATAGTGCAGGCTCAATTTGTCAAGTACTACTCCATATCAGCCTCCACGATTTGTGGAAAACTGTTAACACAACAACAGAATCCGATATTTCAGACCTCTTCCGATGCTAGTGAATTTAGGTGGCTTCTTCCCGGAGGTGCTGTGCCTAGAATCAAGGAACCCAACTTGTGTGCTGAGCAACTAAAGTTATAATACAGAACATTCAAAAAGGGCCATTCTGTTCTGAGGCTGAAGAGTGTCTCTGTACACCCACTCTTGAAGTTCATCCCTCTGCCGACTTTGGTCCTTCTGTCCCATCCCAACCACCCCACTCTCGCCACCGAACCCCTCTGCTCACAAAGCTTCCTGCTCTGGAGCAGACAAGGTACATTCCACCTGCAGAGTTAAGAGAAAACAGCTACGGACTGATGGCAAAAATGGACACTGCAGTGGTGCCTCAACTTACAAACGTCCCGACATATGACCATTTCGAGTTGCGATCAGCTCCGGCCGCAAAATTTTGCTTCGACTTGCAGCCGGAGCTTCAAGTTGCAACCAGAAAAGAGGAGGGAAAAAGGCGGGGAATTCAAATAACTGTTGGGGTTAGAGTGTGTGCGTCCAAGGGCTTTGGACTGCCTGGGTGCTGCTTTCTGCTCCTGGGCGAGTACATTTACAGGGTTTTGCAGGGCAGGTTTGGGCTGGGGGGGTTATGTTTTCTGTGCTGTGTTGTTGTTTTGGTGTTAATTTTGTTTGGTTTTTTGCAACTCCATCGCATTCCGATGGGGCTTGCAGGGTTTTTTTTGGTGTATGTACTTATTTTTTGCAGCCCCATCACATTCCGATAGGACTGGCTTTGTTTGTTTGTGGATGGGTATTTTTAAATTATTATTATTTTTTGCAGCTCCGTTGCATTTTGATGGGGCTTGCAGTATTTACAGCTCTTGTAACTCTTCGAAGGACAGAGATCCTCAGCTGTTGCTGGATAAAGAGAGGATTCAGTTTCAGGAGAGATGAAGAGAAGCCAGGGCACGGGAAGCCCAAGAGACTTCGGCTTCCTGGGTCCCCCTTTCCTCTTGCTATTCCAAAAAACTAAGATTTCTGGTATAGCTTCAGGCCATGTTCCAACTAGTTATATTTTTCTTACGATGCTTTGTATTCCAAGTGTGTTTCCATTTGTTTCTCTGAACAGGAACTTCACTTACCTCAACTTTACAAAGGAGATTTTTTTTTCCAAATTTCAGAAGCAATCTGCTGAAATCCAGTTGAGTAACTGCACTGGCTAAATGGTGATGATGTTGGTCAACTGATTATAGAAACTGTTTATGCAGCTTGAGGGAAAACTTCCTGCTCCCCCTTCCTATTCTGAGGCTCTCTAGAGATGCCTTTTGCCCTGGGGAAAATTTTGGGAGATTCTGGACGTTGGAGGGGGAGCATTTAACATCCAAAAATTGCCACCAGTGGTCCTGCCACTGGGAATGGGACAGCCACAAGTTTCAAATATTAAATGCTCCTCAAAGATTTCCCTAGGGTCAAACGGATCCCTAGAGAGTTTTTAATTAAATTAGGGATTTATTTCACCAGCCAGTGGAGTTGTACCAAAAGGATTCCAACCACCGTCTAATACGATTAGGGCAAGGCTATCTTTATTGGCTCCCTTTATCAGCCTATAAATAAAACAAACAAAGCATGGGGAGGGAAAAATCCTTCCCATGCCCTACCGCCCTTGGTAAGATTCCAGCCTCTGTTTTAATTTCAACAGACCTTACTACTAGTTAATTGACAGTTTTGTACTGTGTCCAGCACTCCTATGAGTCTATGTTTGCTTCAGTCCTGATGATAACAGAGAGCCCTTGGTGGCTTAGAGGGTTTATTGTATGGAGGGTGGACGACGATGCAGCACAATACAACACAGCAAAAGGAAACACACAAATGCATTCAAAAGCTGAAGTCCCCCTGAATCTTGAAGAGCCTCATGGCGCAGTGCTCAAGGTTGATTTGGCTTTCTATCCTTCTGAGGTCAGTAAAATGAGTACCCAGCTGGCTTGGGAGGGGGGTCAATGTGTAGCCTGCATAATTAACTTGTAAACCACCCAGAGAGTGCTTTAAGCGCTATGGGGCAGTATATAAGCAGCACGCTTTGGTTTTGCTTAGGAGTGCTCCTTTGAAGGTCTGGTTGCCAGATGAACGGCCAATCCTCCCTCCTCCTGGAGAAGGGGTACCAAAGAGTATTTACACTCTAGCCTCCATAAACTGAAACTGGCAGGAAGACATGGAAGACAATAGCCAGCCGCTCCTCCATAGGAAGGAAAACGTATGTGCTTGAGGCAAAGGGTAAGCGATACTTTTATTGGACCAATAAAAAACTGAACAAAGCAGCCAGTGGTCCAATAAAGGTATCACCTGCCCTTGCCTTTGTGTTGGGTAAGGACCACTCGGCTTCGTTTGTTTTTTTTCTGTTAAGTGCCGAGTGGCTCAAATGCCTTCCCTGGTCAGGTCAGCACGATAACGCCTTGAAAATTGTAAATTACATTTAGAATGATACGTTCAAAAGTCTGGAATCCCCTATGCAGTTTCCTTCTATGTTCATGGCTCCCATAAAGCTAGTGACACAACTTCCGTGAAACAGTATACAAATGTGTCTTATACATTAAATTCGCCATCCAGTAGACTTATCATTGGTGCATAAGGAATATTCAGTAGTAACAATTTTAACCCGACCAAGCATAAGGCGGATTTCAGCAGATGTTTACTCCTTATGAGGGAGGCAAACCTTTCACAGTGGAAGCCAAAATCTGCCTATTTTACTCCTGCTTGGGGAAAATTAAACCTCATTAAATTAGCAAAAAGTCTGCTAATACTATTTTAAAAATATAGTGTCACAAAACACTCACACAGGAAGAGAGGATCGCCTTCCTCTGTTGGTTTTCTTTGCAATGACTGGTGTTCCAAAATGCTCTGGATTTGTTAGTGGCAGTTGGTCAAGTGTCTGTAATATAGAGAAGGATGTTAGAAACTAATTTTCCAATCTGACAGTCAAATAAATAGAATAATTTACAGCTTCCAAGTTGACAGCCTACCTCACTTTCTGCAAAATGCCTCTCCCCCTTCAAACACAATGATGTCCGTCTCAGTGTCCTCTCGTCTCCATCATCGAACACTGAACAAAGCCAGACCAAAATGATGTCAAATAAAGGGGAGGACTTTTTAAAAATAAAAATCAGCTAAACAGAGAGAATGAATTATTCAAGTAAATAGCAATCCTCAGAAAAGAAACCTCTAAGATAATCAAAGCATTCTGCCATGTGAACTCTGGAGTCACGGTGAACCTGTGTCATCGCTCTCACTCTGTCATAATTGTTCCTATTACAACTTACATATATCCCCCTCTTCAATAGATAAAATAAAATATAGAATAAAAAGATCCAGCTGTATTCACAATTATTCTCCAAACATACTCTCCCTCCTCGTGACCTCAATAAAAATTACCTTCAGCCTCCCTCATCTGAGACAATTATTTCTAGTGCAAGACACTGATAAATAGAAGTACAGATATGAAAGTTAAGTATATTATTGTTGACAATTAATTAGTTAACGGGTAGGGAAACCGTTATCCTCTAGAGGTTGTCAGACTGCATTTCCCAGCATTCCTCACTACTGGCTACACTGGCTATGGTTGATGGGAGCTGTAGTTCAAGCACAACTGGCCACATGTTGTCCATTCCTGCAACAAGACAAATTATTAAATGAATAAGCTTTCTTGAGTTAGGTGCAGAGGTGCATCTGTTAGTAGCCAGAGAAGACAGGACCCCAACTATCAAACATAGGCCTTCATCTCAGGATCACAAATAATTCTCCCCTTTGTGATCCCCTTTCTCAGTGCCAGAGAGAGCAATAGTACAGTAGCTGGAAGCTCTGCGACTTTAATTGCCACAAGTTTTTAAAAGATATTCCAAATGTTATCTGGGAAGGATGGAAAAATTAGGTTGTGGCCACATGATGCCCATCCTTCCTTTAAATCCAAAGTTGGTGGAATAATATGCATTTAATGGGGGGGGGGAAGAAACTTGACATTTGACTGGCACGGTTCACACATGGCTCCGATATTCACAGCGTACATGTGAGAGATGAGTGGAGGCTACTCTTAGAAACAGCCACATAGAGGGATTCTTGATGTGCTTGTTCCTTTTGGCAGTAGACCATATATACCAGAGCCATATGGGTAGTTAATTACTTCCATCAACCTTCCTTTTCCTGTAAGCCACTGAAAGAAATCATAAGCTATAAAACCATCATAATTCATCTTTAATGTATCCCATTCTACCTAGTTGTCAAAGATACACTGCAGGAAAAGAAAACAATCCTTTCTAGTATTTATCCAGAACTAGTTTTTACACAGGGAATTACACTAAATATGTGATATGAGCAAATTTCTGCCACAACATGTTCATGCAATTCATATGTTGCATTTCAGGAAAAATTCAGGACAAGGCCGCGTGGTCTTCAAAAGAACACAAATGCAGGGAAACAGGTGATACCTTTACTAGACTATTACGACCATGTCACATTTATTTCATTGGATCAAATATACTGCTGTCACTACTCTTCTTGGCACTGTAAATGAGGAAAGATAAATATATGACTCCTCACCCACTTTTTTTCTTTTATTACAACCACACACTTCCATTATTCTGTACCTCCGCCTACGACTTTTACCCAGCTAAATATTCCTTGCTGTTTTAAATCACCTTTCTTTTTAATCTACTTCACATGCAGCCTACTTTAAATCTAAGCCTTCCTGAGCATGACCTTTCCAACGTACTGCTTAATTGTTGTTAAACAGTACATTTAAGATACGATAAAATTAAGGTTTTCCAGGACAGAAACTGACAGAAGACAGTGACCATGTTTTGCTCTCTTATAACTGTGCTCTCTGCAACAAACGTATTCATCTCCTGAATAGTAAATATCCCTGAGTTAAAGATACATAGCATTTAGAGTTTGGATAGAGTTTCCAAAGCACTTCATGCATATACTGGAGGCTCAGGCTTTGGCCCCACCATTACTACTAAATTTACTGAAATTTATACAATATAAATAGTATGGTTAAAAGACCTAGGAACAAGGCACAACTAAACAAATTATCTCACTAAACATAACTGGTCCATCTCTCCCCCCCCCCCCCGAGAATTATATTTAAATACAGCAAAGAGGAGTTCAAAAGAGGTGCCCAAGGCCATTACGGATGAAGTAGGAATTTGAAGCTTGGCTCTCTCGTAGTTCCTTCACCACTCGAATCATTTCAGCACATGGCCTGGTTGTGTGACCCTTAGGGGGAAATGTTCAGGACAAAATAAAGGAGAGCCTTCACTCCTAATACTACTGCTCGGGGTGTTGCACACAGAATGGGGCTGATGAGAGGGGAGGCCACCTGGCCGGTTCACCCTTCTCCACTGCCCGGCTTCCTCCGGCCACCATTCGACACACATGAACCACGGGATCCAATGCCGCCGCCTTTCCAAGACCATGTCCAAGACTGCAGCCCTGTAGATGCTCTCGGAATAGGGCAGATTCATGCGGAGGGAGATGCAAAATGACAGAGAGCTAGCATCGCTGCCTAATTAACCAGGGACAGAGCGTCCCAGATGTCTATTTGCTTTGTCAGAGACACAGGTAAGCAGGTTGTCAGATGCGGTTATCAGTTCAGAGTAATCACTGCGACAGTGAAGATCCAGCACTGACTTGTTGCTTAACCCCACTAATTACAGTTAACCAATTAGGATTTGCAAGGAGCCAGCATTATGCTTACGTCTGTCCAGTGCTGAGGCTGAGCTAGCAATATGAAAAGCAATGATTTTAGACCACTCTCTTTGAGGTTTGCACAATGAAAAGCTTAGGCTCAAAATGATGCATTATTTACAATAGAAGGTCGATGTCATGTACACACAATGAACTTGAATGGGAAGAGCTAGGTCACTTAACTATGGTGACCTTCAGTCACACTGGGAGGCTGGACCACTTCAGATTTTATATTGCAGCACTACCATCTAGCCAATATAGTTTAAAACAAACAAACAGCGATTCCCATTCCCATTTGATTTCCCATACAGTTTATACCTTAAAGGAGGCAGTAGTAAGACCATCGGTTAAAAAGCCCTCCTTGGATCACACAATACTGAATAATTAGTCAAAACTGTAATATTCTTGGGCAGGGTGCTGGAGGCAGTTCTTGGATGAAACAGATTAAGATCTTAGATGAAACAGACTTCAAGCCTGGTTCTGGGATGGAGACAGCTTTGGTCACCTTAGTGGATGACCTACGCTGGGAAATAGATGGGGTGTGTGTCCCTATTGGTTTTGCTAGACCTCACTAAGGCTTTCAGTACTATCAACCATGGTGTTCTTCTGGCCTGTCTCTCTGCAACGGGACTTGGAGGCAATATTCTATGTTGGCTCCAGTCCTTCCTGGAAGACAGAACTCAGAAGGTGGCGCTGGGGGATTCCATTCCATGTTCAACACCCTGGTCAATGGCTTGCAGGGCTCTGTTGTATCCCCTCTATGTTATTTAACATGTACAATGAAATCACTCAGAAAGGTCACCCCGATTTTGGGGGTTTGGTATCACCAGTATCCAAATGACGCTAAATCTATCTCTCCTTAACGTCTATATCTGAGGAAGCTGTTTCAACTCTAGATCAGTGTCTGTTGTCAGTAATGGACTGGATGGGGGTGAATAAACTGAAACTTAATCCAGACAAGACAGAGGTGCTCTTGGTCAGCTGAAAGGCAGATGAAGGAATAGGGATTCAGCCTGTGCTAAATGGGGTTATATGTTCCACCTGAAAACATAGGTACACAGCTTTGGGGTGCTCCTGGATTCATCTCTGAGCCTGGATGCCCAGGTTTCAGCAGTGGCCAGAAGTGCCTTTGCATAACTACCCTGTTTCCCTGAAAATAAGACCTAACCTGAAAATAAACCCTAGTATAATTTTTCATGATGTTCATAATATAAGCCCTACCCCAAAATTAACCCCAGTTAAGTGAAACCTTGCCCTCCAACCTTGTGCAGCAACCAGAAGACGACGTGACTGTATTTGAAGAAACGTAGATCATTGTACATGAAAAAAAAAACATCCCCTGAAAATAAGCCCTATTGCATTTTTGGAGGAAAAATTAATATAAGACTCTGTCTTATTTTCAGGGAAACACAGCAAAACTAGTGCACCAGCTTCATGCATTCCTGGAAAGGTCTGGTTGGGCCATGGTGACACATGTCTTAGTTATATCCTGAATGGATTACTGTAATACTCTCTACATGGGGCTGCCTTTGGAAGATGCCCAGAAATGTTAGCAGGTCCAAAATGTGGCAGCCAGTTTGCTAACTGGGGCCAGTCATAAGGAACACATAACACCCCTGTTACAGCAGCTTCACTTGCTGCCCATCTATTTCCGGGCACAATTCAAAGTGCTGGTTCTAACCTATAAAGCCCTAAATGGCTTGCGTCCAAACACGGCCAGCCCTATCTATGCTGTCCTTCTGCAAGCAGGCAAAGACCTTTCTCTTCAGGCAAGTTTTCACTCACTGACTAGTTGCTCACATGGAGTTTTTAAATGTCTAGTTGTGCCTTATTGCTTTGAATGCATTTTGGTGTTTCTTTTGTGTACCATATCAATGTGGTATTTGTTTGATCTTTATTAAAATTTGTACCAAATACATCTATTTAAAAACCTGACTCAGGCAGCCAGAAAAATAGTTCGTCCAAGTCGCATCACAGAGATAGGCCATGGCTGGTGGCATCAAAAGCCACTAAGAGGTCCCACAGAACCAAGTGGGACAAATTCCTCCTGTCTAGCTTCTGGCGTAGGTCATCCATCAAGGCAACCAAAGCTGTCTCCGTCCCTTTACCAACTTAAAGCCAAATTAAAATGGCTCTAGATAATCGGTCTCATTGAAGAACTGCTGAAGCTGAGAAGCTACAACCCCCTCCTGCATCTTGCCCAGAATATTCCTCCCAGAATACTGATTAATTAGAGGTAATTATTCATTATTGTAAAATCCAAGGAGGGCTTTTTCAACAATGGTCTTACTATTACCTCCAATAATAGGACTTTGGCCATATAGTCATTTTTAGTATGATGAAGTCACAAATTTTAGCATGTTTAAGTCAAAAATTCAGTATGAGCTGTTCTCCGCTAAAAGCATAACCAGAGACTAGAGATAAGGAAATATAAAACAAGTTATTCAGTCAGGCTGCTGAAAAGTCACAAGAACTGAAAAGTCACAGTCCACTACCTGTTTTAAATTCTCCAAGTCAGAAGGCTCATATTCCGAATGAAATAGTGCCAACATCTGCATAAAGCATACACACATTTCACTATTTCCAAAGAAAAGTAATATTTTATTACATAGCCTTGTCAAATGTTTCCAGACCATATCCTATGAGGAAGGAGCAGCAGGACAGCAACAGTTTCCTAGTGCTCACATAAGGGACTTCCAAGAGCCAAAAAGTTCAACTTAATGCGCCAATCACAATAAAGCTGAGTTACTACAATGTTTAGTAAAATACACTTCCTGTTATCAACCAGCCTTAGTTCTTACATCTTAATAAAAGATAGAGGCTCAATTTGATTATTGCTACACTTTTCTCCTTTCACATTTGTGTGAACCAGTCGTAGAACATTTATAAGTCATTCTCCAAAAGGTCAATATTTACTGAAGTATTTATCTGCAAATTACTTAGACAACCTGAAAGAAGCAACTTACAAGTGAAGCCATTGTTCTAATGGGATGAAAAATCAGTCCAAATCCCTGCAATTATCTCTCTGCAACATGGAGATCATTCTAAAAACAACACTACAATATTATTTAATTCAAAAGCTAGTTGGAAAACTTCCACACACTTCCTTCTGCTGCAGTCACCGATTCTCAGGTGGCAGGAGACTCACTATGAGCAAATTAAGCTGTATAATACCGCATTATACATCAGTCTAGCCCGGTAGTTCTTGGCCTTCAGTCTCCATTTATTGTTAAGAGTACAACTCCCATTATCACTGGCCACAATAGTTGAGCACAAAATTGAGCACTGAAGAAGCAAGCTTAGAAATCACTTGTTCTATTAGCCACTTCCAGCAGTGGTCTAAATGCCTTGGTCTCTCTCAAGGGAGAAATCCAGTGAACTCCAGGTAAGAATTATGCAGCCTGGGGAAATCACGGGTCCACTACCTGTTTTATGTTCTTTTCCTAAAGAGCTGAACTTCCAAAGCAAAACCTGAATTACTTAGAAAAAGTCTTTAAAAACAACGTAAGTGTCCTACTGGATTATACCTAAATCTTCCAGCTCCAACATTCTATTTCCACAGCAGCCAACTACATGTCTCTAGAAAGACTATGGGCAAGACATGAGCGCAAATTGCACCATGATGAACTTGTAGCTCAGTTCAGGCTGGAGCCTCTTAAAAACTGAATTATTCTCCAATATTAATTAGTTTTTCACACAAGTGAAACTAGAATGCCTGGAAGAAACCTCAATTAGAGTTCTTCAACACATATATACAACTTTTGTACATTCAAGGAACTGCTTTTAACATGCACAGGTATTCAAACAACTGCCCGCTGCCATTGGGTTGCTACTGTTGATGATCCTGCAATACACATCTATTAAGTGTTGATCAAAAGCCACTAAATCTTCAAAGCTAGTAGAAATATTGCCTTGCTTGCTGATTTTTTGTTCCAATGACCACACAGTTCCCATGCTTATTTGGGATTTTATTGATCTCCTTTCTGAACTTCTAAGAGCCCCCAGAAAAAAAAGGATTTTTCTCCTGACCTGTTCAACAGTAGCCTTAAAGTAGCAAAAATGTACTTCAGTTTGTTTTTATTCCAGCACCTCCCCCATTCCAAACCATAGTGACATAATTAGGAATCTTCATTACATAGATGCCATGTTTTAAAGGAACACAGAAGAAAGCTAGGGAAACTGCTTTGTACAAGGAAAGCTGAACTTATATATAACTTATTTTTGCACTGATCGTTAGACTAGTAGTATGGTAGTTACTTACCTACAGTATACCAGCTGGCATCGGTCAGTTTACTGATGACAGCTTCTTGAAAGGATCCATCTGGCATCTTGGTCTCAACAACTGCACCAGCCTATAATTTTGAAAATTAAACGTTTACATCTTCTTGCAAACAAATGCTCTTAAAAAAATCCTTCAAGTGTTGCACCAAGACCAATAAAAGCCTTGGGATCCCTTGAAAGACTAACCAGTTGACAGTATCCTGTATCTTCCAGCAAACTCCAGAGGCAGTGTGCTACAATTTATGAAAGTTTCTGCCAAATAGTTAATGCTTAACGTGCTGTAAGACTCTTCCTTGTTTTTGCTGCAACAGACTACATATCAGTGCAAATATTTTGCCCTCCCCCCACAAAAAAAGAGCTGGTTTTTCCTAAACTCTTAAGTGCCCAACCCAACCTTTGACCTCAAATACAGAGCACTCACATGTATTTTTCTCCCCAGTGTGCATTCTCAACAATAAGCCAGCATCTTGCTTATAGCAGGATTGCACTCTGAATACTACCTTTCAGGTCTCCTGGCCTCTTGCTCTGCAGTCAAAGAAAAAGGATTGGATCTTGCTTTTTCTCGACAAGAATCATTGTCTTATGCCCTTTTATATTTATAAGCTGTTGTGTAGATTATCCCTCCTCGTTTCCACCCACACCATGTCACTTTTCTGTGACAAGAAAAGTATGCCCCATACTAGACTCATAACAACAAATCCATCCAACATGGTAATTTATTTTTTATGGGACATTTCAACCCTTCTCACAGCAGTCAAACTTCAAATCTAACCTGCATTAGTAATTCTATAAACTTCAAGAGCAAAGTCTGTTTCAGCAGTAGTATGAATGTTCTCAATCCAAGGAATATTAGCCACACTTAAATATTTCTAATTTCAATAAGGTTAAAGAGCAAGGATCTCCAATGAATTGAGTCCAAAATGTATTTCATTGTCAGGTGTACAGAGTGTGTATGGGCTGTCACAGAATCAAGCTTTTCCTTCAACAGCCCCACTTTTCATCAGAAATTTTGTATCAACATTTCTTAAAGAAATAGATACATAGGCATATATACAACACTGAAATGAATCATGCTAGTCAACTTTCTACACTTTTTGTTACAGGGAAACCTCTTCAATCTTCTCTAATCAGTACATTTTTTTCTCTCTTTGAAAGTGACTGAAGATAATTATGCATTCAGAAAACAAAACAAATGTGGAATCTTTCAATTCAACTACCAGTCATCAAATAGAGATTTTATTGATCTAACTGAAGACAGCACCCGCATACATACCCGTAAAGGTCCTTTCACCTGGTCATCTTGCACTAGCTGAGTTGAATTATCTTGCTTTAAAATCACCTAAATATTTTTGAGAAAAAGAAATCAAATAATTTTATTTGTGGGGTGATCACAGAGCCCTGGGTCCAGACAACTAATCCACAGATCTACCTTCAAGGGAAGTTGCCACTGAAGGCCAGGGAGAGATGATTTCTCCTGAGACCCCTCCCCACTCCACCCCCAGCCCTGACCCATGAAGCTGTTCTAGAGGGTACAGGAGCAACATAGCAACCAACATAGGAGCTGCAATGGGAATCTGTAAAACCCAACTCCACCCTCTTCCTCCAGCATAGAACATGACTGGAAGGAGGTGTCTATTTTGGAAGTGCCAAGTCTACATCCAAGTTAAGATATATGAGCATCCTGGTTAGATCAACACTTCCTTCCAAATAAAGGTGTTCAAAAGCTCAAGTCTACGTATGCAAGAAATGCAAAATAAAACAATAGTAAACTATTGGCATAATCTAGAAAGAATTTAAGCAAACTAAAACCATCTGTGTCAACCAAAGAAATGAGCCAGCAATTTAAAAACCAGTATCACCCAGAAAGCTTGCGTAGACAAAGCAGAATATCTACATTCTTGACAAAAATGCACCACACTGAGCTACAGCTGACTGCTGGCAATTATGCTTACTCAAATGCAAACACTGCTGAGTTAAATCTGTCTTACTTCCCAGAAGACAGATGTCAAGAAACATAGAAGGTTGCTGCTTAAATCTTTTAATATTATAGAAGAGTCACTAAGACAATACTGGTCAGAATAGCAATGTGTCAGCCTCTGATGTTTCCGAATGGCCTTGAATAAGTTGCCACGAGTGTTTCCTCTTACCTTAACTTTCACCAGTCGTTTTACTGTCTTAATTTTTGCCTCACAGAAGGCACCCCGGTACTTGGCACTGACATCAGTCCCCACAGTCAGGTAGGCAGGCTCATCGGCTGCCTGGAAAAACAAGAATATTAGTTAAAAACAAAGGTCAACTAAGAGAAACACGCAGCAGCAAATGCAAACACACAAGCAGAGACACTGGAAACAAATTAAGCACAATCCCACACGACTGTGAATTTGTTCAAAGTTTAACTGTATGCAAATGACTGCAGCCAATGCACTTGAAGCACTACTGACCACAAAGGATTCCTGAAGCAGAGATATTAGAGGTATGATTTTAAAATACGGTTGTTCCAGAAACAGTCTGAAGGAGAAAAACACTTTCAGTCAGTAGCTGAAATCTTGTTGCACAATTACACAAAGGCATAGGTTTAAAAGTTGTATTGCCGCAAGAAATCTCTGTAGGCAGTACCTGTTGCTCACCGAACACAACTCTATATGCAGCAGATAATGCTTACGAAGATTTTTTTTAACTTACAGCAATTTGCCTCTAAGTTAACCGCAAAAAAAGTATACACACAAAAGAGGATGTTGGCTAATAAGTAAAAAATAAACACAGGCAACACTTTTTTCCTTTTAAAGTTTCTTCTTCTTTTTCAAAAAGGCAAGAACGTACAACTCTAAAACTGCACGTGGACAGTTTAGACACACTATTTAGATGCTACAGCTCCACATAACTATCAGCCTTTTAAAATGGATTGGCAAACTTTGTTCTGAAATCAGGATGTACCTCATAAAAAATTAAACATACTCCAAGTGACAACAAAAAGTGAAGAAATACATGGAAGAATAACACATACACATATACAGGTGTAACACAACAGATGCCTGAATCACTCAAAGAAATGTTCCTTTTAATTTTGTGTTCACAAAAAAGTAAGTATCAACCGAAGCAACAGTTGTCAACTCTATCTGTTTCATGAAACCTTCATAGATCCTCCCTCCACAAAGCAAGAACAATGTCACATCAACTTTTACTGAACTGCCTTCAAAACAGTAAGTTCAAGCACTTCAAACTAGGTTTCAGATTCTGCAAAACAGGAAACCAGAAAGGGGGCAGCATCAATTTATTTCTTAAGATTTTCAGACCACTGCACTAACAACATTACAGTAAGTGCACAAATGAAAGTTTTACAAATTCTCTTTGTACCCTACCAATATTATTTTTCATTTGCTTCCCTATCATGACGGCTAAAGTTCAACATTAAAATACGTATACTTCTCATTACATGTATTTCCCTTCCCTGGGAACAATCTAACCCTAACCTCCCATCAGTGTTAACCAGCATAGCCAATCCTTGGGGGGCAGGCACTGTGTTTATGGAAAAGTTCTGACATATTACGTCTCTGATTCATGGAAATCCGTACACAGGGCAAAACTGAAAGCTGTAAACTTCCAAATATGAATAGAGAAATAATCATACAGGGGAATCGAAAAAAGAAAACACAGGGCTCTGTACATGCTGTATAGTCTCATGGGTCCCCTATGGGGAGAAAGGCAGCATATAAACAAATAATGAGTAGACAAGAGTTGGACATGGGGGGAAAAGAGAGAGAGAGAAACAGGAAAACACTTTCTGGACCAACTGTAGGTGTTTGCAACTATTTCTATAAGAGAGACTATTTATACAGCAGACGACTACATGCATTGTATTTACAAGGCCCCACAAGACAAATCCCATCTGCAGGCTGTAAATAATGAAATAGGCTTCTACTGCTTAAGATGCATGGCCTCACCTAATAAAAAGCATGTTACTATACCTTTGTGCAGTATCAGTACTCTACTCCTAAATGTGCAGTCACAGTTGGGACAGATTAGGAAGTCACAAACCTGTTGGCACAGCAGGATGTGGACCACATTTTGCCAAATGTGTGTTGAATAGAATGATAGATTTTTAACATTTTAGAAAAAGTAAGCACAAGAATATACAGTGAGCAGCTGGCTGAAAGAATAAAGGAAAGCTTAAGAACACGGGCTCTCCAAAAATGTATTTACCTTCATCTTAGAAGGTTATTTGAGGGATTCCAGCTCAAATCCTTTGTCTTTACCACAGCTGAAAAAATCTAGAATAGAAAAAGACAGCATTATTACCAAATTCACTCGTATGCTTGGGAAAAAAAGGTGACAGAGCTCTAAAGAGTGGAATTGACTTACACAGCCCTCTGCAGTGTATACAGTAGATCCACCTTGCATCACTACCCCACCCACCCAGGACCTAAAATACATTAGAAAGATGAATGGCAAGTGATGAAAAGTGTGTCAAAAATGGTCGGTTTGAAGTCCTGACTGAGCAGCAGCAAATGACACCATTTCCCCCGTCGGCTCTCACTCCTCTCTATATCACTTCAGGACCAGGAACTGCCAGGGTTCCCCCTCCTTAGAACCTGTGCAGAGAGATTGTGCAAACAAGGAAAAGAAATGGAAGAGACTGCACAGGGGAAAACCTGAACCACCATCTCCAGCCCCACATTTCTTAGATCTAAAATGAATACATGGCACAAGTCTAAGGAATATGTTCTCTAAAGGGGAAACCAAACGGTTTGATCCCATGCGTGTTTATTTCAAAGTATGAAGTCAGTGGAATTCATACCCAAATGTGCAGAGGGCTCCAGCTGTCACTTTCAACAGTTCCTCTACATAAAACCACAAAAGCTTGCACCCCACCTTACAGGAAGCCCCCCCAGATTCCTCCCCTCTGGACACCATCCTGGGCCTATTTTGGCCTTCACCTAAAGACTCTCTCTCCCTCCTTCCTTTCCTGGTAACTTCCGTATTTGCTGAGGCTCTTCTCCTTCACTTAGGAAAAAACAAACTTCCCCACACTTCATAAAAAAATACAGACCGTGAGTTTTTTTAACCCCACCTCGGCTTCTGAAGCCACCTTCCCTCTTCCATTAAAAAACCTTGTGCCTCTTTTAGGTCACAACACCCCCCCCCCGTCCCATCCACTTGGCCTTTGGGTGCAAGTCCTGGCCCTTACCCCCAATGCCACCCTGGACCCCAAAGGCCCGCAGATCCCTCTCCATCCCTGGGATGACAGAGGGAAACAGGGAAGACTATTGGGGGGGGTTTAGTAAGACGAGTGTTGCGTATGTAAGTGTGGCGGGGGGGGGACAGAGAGGAAGAAGAAGAGGACTAGGAGACCCAGGAAGATCCCACCGAGAAAAGGTTTAGGGCCCGGGACGGGTGTGGAAGGGGAAGAGAAGGGGGGGCGGAAATAAAAGGGGGGCACGGTCTCTCTTCCACCCCCCAAATGAAGTGGAAAGGGAGCAAGAGACGAGGACCGGCGGACTCCCCAATAAGGTCAGGAGGGCCAGGAAGGGAAAGGAAAGGAAGCCCCCCCCTCGGCTCTCCGCCTCAAGCCGCCCTTCCGGGCCCGAGCGAGGAAGCGACAGGGCTCCGTCCCCGGTCCAGAGGGCGAGGAGGGACGGATCCTACCCCTTCCCCTCAGAGTCCCCCCCTTCTCTCTCTCGGCCTCTTTCCCCTCACCTCCTCCTCCTCCGTTCGAGCTCGGCCACCAACTCCCAAACCGAGCCAGTCTCCTCCGCCGGCGGGCGAGCGGGCGGGCGCGTGTGTGAGGAAGGAGCGAGAGAGGGAGGGGTGGAGGGAGGTGGGCGGCCCGGCCCAAAGGCACCGCCGTCCCACTCCCACCGCCACCACCAGCAACAAGCGGCGAAGGACGAGGGCGACCGATCCCGGCGGCGGCGGCAGCAGCAGCAGCAGCAGCGGCTCCGCTCCGCCTTCGCTCCTTCCCCGCCCCCCTCCGGGCTCCACGGCTTCCCCTCAGCCAGCGAGCGGCTGGAGGCTCCTCTTCTTCTTCTTCTTGGTCTCTTTCCTCCCCTCAGCCTCTCTCTCACTCGGGCGGCGGCGGCGGCGGCGCCACTCAGCACCCAAATAACAAGCTGTTGAGCCGAAGCTGCGCTGCGCGGCCTCCCATTGGCTCCTCCCCCCTCCTCGCTCCCTCGCGCGCGCACCGCCCCCTCGGCTTCTCTCTCTTTTCCCCCCCCCCCGCCCTGCCCCTCGCTGATTGGACGCTGCGTGACTTCCCCCGCCTTTCTTCGGAGTGCGGAACGGGCCACTTCGCGGCTGCGATTGGGCGGCTGGGTTTTCACGCACGCACACCCCGCCTCGCCTATTCGCTAGAAAGGAAAGAGGGCCTCTCATTGGCCCGAGTCGCAGCCCTGCCCTGCCCAAGGCCGTAAGCCAGGGCTTTAAAAGGGAGTGAAGTCAAAGTTTCCACCAGTCCCATCCAGCCTTCTGTACCCGCCCCCACTCCCGCTTTCATCGCTCCCGGCCCTTGGAGTGAGGAAGGGCGGAGGGCGGCAGGACCCGGAGCGGAAGCGCCGCGAGGTGGGATTGGACGCAGCGTCGCGGGGCAGGAAGCTGAGGAAAAAAAGAGAAGGAGACGGCGACAGGTGATTGGTCAGCGGGCCCCGTCTCCTGGATACGAAAAGGCGGCGGGCGGGGACGGCTGAAAGCCTGGCTCCGGCGACGACTAATGAAGGCAGGAGTCTCGTGACGCGCATGCGTCGCCCGGCCTTAGGGATTATTGCTATTATTTTTTTCTTTCTGTTTCGGCCGGCGCCATTTTGTGTGCGGTCCGGTCACGTCGCAGTTCCATTTAGTTGGGCGGGGGAGGGAGACAGGGAGTCAGAAGATGAGCCCCGCAGAGCTGACGGGAGCCGCCAGGCAACACCGTCTTGAGGCCTGAGGTAACGAAGCCCAGCGCGGGGGGGGGAGGAGTCGAATGCACTGAGGTAAATGGGAGGGCGGCGGCGGTGGAGGGGAAGCGAACGGGGCCTCCGCCCGGCGCTGAAGCAACGACGACCCCTCCCTCACGGGGAAAAGAAGCGGCCGTTGGCGGCGGCCCTTGGGCTCCGGGCCAAGACCAGCCGGGTTGAGGGGCGGGGCGGCGAACCGGAAGTCGAGTGTGACGCCATCGCCGGCGCGGCCGCCATGAGAAGGGCGGGGCGAAGCAAAGCGTTTCCGCCTTGGCATCCCTCCCGGGACGGGGGAGGGGAGGAGAGCCTTCGATGGAAGGCTGGCAGGCAGCGTGGACTCCTGGG